TCTCTCTAAGTGCTGATAGAAGGGAAGGCTTTGCTCTTGGAGATAAGAAGCCCTCCCTGAGGAGCCAGGGGCGTTCGTTGGTATCAGGGTGTCTTCCAGCCCTTTGCAGACATACCCTTTGTACGTGCGAGATGGTGAGGCGGTCACGTAGACAGCAGACAGGGAGGGCTGTGTTTTTGAGGTCAGTTAACTGAACGCCTCGCTATCGTCTATTTTCTTTTCCCTAGAATTATTTTTCTCTTGTTGATCAAGCCTTTGCAGTGACCTCATTGGCTCGCCAAGCTGCAAACTGACAGCTGAATCCTCGTATTTTTGGAGATAGATTAATTCAGGAGAGATAGGCACTTCAGGAAGGTATTTCAGCCTCAGATTTTGAAATGCTTAACAGCTCCCTTTTTCTGCTCTCTGTGCATGCTTGAGAAGTTGCCCAGCTCTTGCTGCAGATTATAGGAGACGTGGTTTTATAAGCATCCCCTGTCCAGTTTGGGGGGGGGACCAGGAGTGTCTGGAGTGAAGCTATTCACTGCCATCTCCAGATAGAGCTCTGAGCATCGTCCCCTGGCAGCAAATCCAGTCTCTGGTGGTTACATGTCATCTGATGCTCATGTATCAGCAAAGCAGAATGTCTAGGCCACCTTTATCTGGAGGAATTCAATAGATCTAATTTCCAGTGTCAGGTAATTTGGATGAGTGCAATCATCATGGCATGCACAGAGAGGCTGTTCTCTGTTGTACATTCAAAGCATTTGAAAACAAGGAGGTCAAATATTTTGGTGAGGCAGAGATTGTTTTTACACAATGCTGCCCTTAAAGTTTCAGTATACATTATACGGAAAAAAATATTTCCTTTTTCATTTTAAACTTGCTGCCTGGTCATTTTCTTAGGCCCTTCCTAGCTTCAATTGTGAAGAAGGATGAATGCCCTCCACAGGCAGCTCACGCTCTCTAAAGTCCCAGTCTGTTTTCCCTCCATGTTTACACCCAAGGGAAGCTGCCACATTGCTAAATATAGGTCTTCTCATCCAAATAAGGGGGCGGGGAGGGAAACTGGGATATTGTTAAAAAATAAGCCAGCTGCAAGGCAGAAATCTTAAAGCAGTCCAGGAGTGTAGCTGCTTATTCACAGGCTGGAGAGAAGAACCCCCGTTGTGTGTTACAGCTCCTTGGTGGAAATCCTCTGCCATCTGCTGGTACCACGCACTGAAGGAAAGGCTGTGGGTAGAAGCAATTAAGCACACGGCAGAAAACAGGCATCTCTCAAGTACACAGCCTTTGTCCAGGGGAAATGTTACCTAGTTTGGTCCAGGAAAAGCTACACAATGCTCTGCCTATCCTCTAGGTTCTGAGCCGGGGGAGAGCCCAGGCTTTTGCCAGCCTGGCTCTTGGGCCAGGGATTTGCACAGTGACCAGCAAAGCTGTAAGCCAGGGCCTCAGCACAAGTGTTGCTGCGCTAGCAAAACTCTGCTTTTGCCACCTGCTCCTCTGGAGGAGCGTGTACGTCCATCCACGCGCAGAACTGCAAGGAACGCAGCCCAGAGTAGTAGAGTCAACAGGATCTGGAAAGGTGGGATAGAAACCTTAACCGCCTTTTTGTTACCCGTCTTCTTACTCGGAGAAGTACTTCAATGCCAACAAGGATGTTAGATGCGAATGGCAAGAGAAAGATTTTAAATATTCAGCCAGGGCTCAAACTTTGCAAGGGAAACCCTGCAGCTGCACCTCTGTGTATTTTTAGTTCTGGCCTTTGCTACTCGGTTGAAGCTCCTTGAAATGTCCTAACCCCGCAGCCGCTGTTTCCAGAACAGCGTTTCCAGGCTCTGTCTTTCCTGCTTCAAGTTACAGAGCGCTTTGGGGGTTCAGAGCCCCTTCATTGTGTCTAAGAAGAATCAGGCTAAGAGTCCGGATTTCTGTTCTTCCTGTTCCTGCTTGATAAAGGACTCTGAGCCTGCTGGCCTCTCTGCATTTCCTAATCAGTTCATTTGGGTTTATAAAGATTATTTATTCCTCCAGAGCATAGCACGTCTCTGCTCCTAGATTATCGCAAGTACAATGGCTGTTACAAAGGAAGATGAAAACCAGGGCTCACACGTCCAAGTCTTGCCCAGTAACAGCAGCAGACCGTGGCGGGTAAAGGAACAGGCTCGAGAGGAAGACGAGCGGATCCCTTGCCAGGGCAAGGAGGGGGTTAGGGTACCAAGCTGGCTCAAGCCCTCTCTGTTCCCCAGAAGGCAGCAGAGGAACTTTATGACAGACGGGTGTTTTTCCAAAACTCGGGAAGCGTCTGGCCCAATACACCAGGATTTCCTTTCAATCAGCTCAAAGGATTCGATCAGCATTATTTGATGTAACATAAGTGTTTTGGAGCCAAGGACTGTTTTTATGCTATCTCCAAAGCTATTTGTATTTTTCTTCTCTGCATCTTACTGCAGCTCTTTCGCTTTTCCTTCCCACCGTTTATCTTTCACAACACCAAGCCTTGCCTGTACTTCCTGTTTGGCTCTGTGGTTAGTAGTTTTCTCATTTGCTGTTATTTTTGACTTCCATCCAAGCTTTGTATGATATTAATAGCTCTTTCACAGAACCGTAATCTTCCTCAAACCAGTCCTAATATTAGCAGGAGAAAGAGCCAAGAACCACTGCCGAGGCCCGAGGGACTTGAGCTCTGAATTTCTCTTGGGTTCTGCCAGCACTGCCCCCAGCCCAGCTCAGCCCTTGCCCCAGGGAGTCAAAGCTTCTGTCCATCACCCAACTCACAGGGCCCCATCCTGGCCCTGACAGGCAACGGAGGAGCAGCTCGTGCAAGCCAAACTGCACAAAAGATAATTCTTGAATCCTTATGTAAGTATAACTTACTGGTAGTCTAATTAATGCCTCAGTCTAATCAAAATAAAGCAATCGGTTATCATCGATCCAGTTACAGCAGTGCTAACAATATCCAAATTACTCAAATTTCTAGTAAAGGTTGTCCGTAATAGGAAAAAAAAATAAACGCAATAGACAAAAGTACCTACCTCATTCCTCTAATGATAAACTCTCCCGAATCCCTTCACATTGCTGCAGTGACTCATCAGCATCCTGAGGGGAGAAAACGATTGTTTTCCTTTGCTGGGAAGAATATGGTTATAGGGCTGATGGTTTCTTCCTCCTCAGTTCAGGGCCTACTCAGGGCTATTCTTTAATGTATTTTCTATTACTCTCTATACTTGAATCTGTATTCATAGACCAGCAATTCCACGTTGCATCCAGCTATAATATGCATCCTGTTTTACCTCTTTTTTCTGATACTGTTGTCCCAAAAATCTGGGTTCTTTTACCAGGTGCACAATGAGTCAAAAAAACCCCCAATCTCGAGACACTTGTTTAATCCATATCTGTGCAGAGATGGGTGGTAGGTGGTAATTCCAAAAGCGACAAGGAACATGTTTATACACTTCAAGCTTCACGAATGTAATAGCCATTGGGTAGTTTCTTATCACTTTGTCCCTCACTGGTTAACAACGGCTCGGTTTAGAGTTACACTTTCTTTTTACTATTCTGTGCAAACTCACAGGTTGGGGGTCTTGTTGGAATAGAGTGCTGCTTCTCATCAAGAGGTCCAGTTGTCATATTATAATGAGCTAAATTCACCTAAAGGACACAACTTGGGCAGGCTTGATGGTATCTCTGAGCACATGACCAAGGGAGGTCTCCTTGTTCCTCAATTCAGGGCTCTATCTCTCATCTCCTTCACTTTGCAAGGCTCTATCTCTCAGCCTACTATCCCCTCCCAAGGCTTTGTCCTGTGAAAGGTTTCTTTTGTTTTAATCTTTAACCTTTCACCATTACCTCTAAGACAGGTTTCTGTCACCTACCAAAGCTGCGTTCTTCAAGTTGTGATTATATCTGCGTTAATCCTTTGAAGCACGTGCACCCTTGCCCCTGCCTGAGCATAAAACAGGGGGGGTTCCTTTCTTGCACTGGCACCCACTTAAGAGGAATCGCTAGGAACAATGTATTCATCCCTGTTTCTGGGGCCAAAGTGAGGCTCTTGATATTCTTCAATCAATAAATATTTTAAATTCTTTTCCACGTGACGTCTGCTGTGCAGTAACCGGTGTCTCCCTGCAGCCTAAAGCACCCAGAGCATGGACAACTGAAGATACACCCTTTCTTCAGTTTTCACTCTGCTTCCCCCAGGCTCACGGCAGGTCCAGCTCTTCCTCAGCAGTGTCCTACCTACTTACACAGCCCACTGGGGAACTGGTGTGGGCACTGTCCCCACCCCAGCACTGCAGCCACATCTCCAAACATTGGCAGGGCCACCTCTGCGCCCAGCAGTAAGCAAGTGGGAATGACTTGCTGAGGTGTCCCCAAGCCCCATCTGTCCCCACAGGGACCAGGGCAGATGTCCTGCAGCAGATCCCACTGCAACTGCCCCAGTTTCTGCTCCAACGAGGAACGTGCAAGGAGCCAGTCTGAGAGAGGATGCTCCAGAAAAGGACCAAGCCAAGAGTGTCCGAGACACAGGATTTGGGGAAGGGGAACGTGCCTTAGTGCTCCCTTGTGCACATTTGGGGTGCGTGAGAACAACAGAGGCCAGAAACACCTGCCTGCCCTGGGCCCCAGCCCCACTGGGGAAGGGGAGCAGCAGCCCCCAGCTGCCCCATCCTCTGCAGTGGGACAGGGCTAGGGTGCAAATGCAGCAGGAGAGGACTTCACCCTCCAGACCCTGCAACCAAGCAGAAGAGAGATTAACCACATTCAGCCCAAGCTATGTCACCTCCTGATACAATATTGGGGACTAAAACTTGTTGTCTTCCCTCCTCTGGACCCACAGCCTGGTGCTTGATCCTGCACCCCAGCAGCAACAACGGGCAGGTTCATCAGCCTGTGAGGCAGGAGCTACTCGGAGCACAGCACCTCAGCATTACAGCATCACAGCCTCCTGTAACGCTACACAGGCCCTGGTTAAAACTCTATAGCACAAGTAAAAAGCACTAGGCAGAGTACAGAACCATAGGTCACACAGAATCATGATTTACTTAACTGCACAGGTCAGAACAGTTTTCCAGAACTCAGTAAAAACAACAGCCATAAAAACAGTATAAACTTTTGTACGTGTTCCACGAGTCTTTTCACACAGCACTGGGCAAGGTCACATATCCCAATCTTGGAAAGCAGGGACTCCCAAGAGCAAGGGTGCTATTAAACTACCCTCATTCCCCTCACCAGTATGAGCAGCACTAGTAATTCATTTAGACTACCCAGGAATCCTTTGGGTTTGCAGCTACAGACAGACCTCTGCAAAATCTTCCCCTTGTAAACACAGTATCAGGAAAGGTTTCTTCAGAAGTCACAGTCCCTCTGGCAGTTAATTAAACAGAGCATCTTTTGCCCATCAGACAAATGCAACACTGCCATCCTCAGGATTACAGGCTGCACAACCACAGCACCAGCCAGGAATTAGACCCAGGTGCTGTCTGAAATTCTGGATTCTGGCAAAGTTCCACTGGGGTGTCACTGCTGTGTGAAAAACCACCTTTGGAGTTTTTAAAAAGAAAAAAAAAAAAATTCAAATTACAAACTTACAATCCTTGTATGACTGTTCCACTTCATATGGTTAGAAGACTGGATGCTACTGAAAAGTGTCAGCGAGTTCCTCTAGCATTTTTAATTAACACTTTGAACAAATCTTGTTAGTTACTTTCTTTACCAATACTAAATTCAGCACAGCATTAGATAATAAAAATACATTGCACAATAAAAACCCATTAAAAGTCTCAGTTAAGCTGAAAGATAAAAGGAAAAACATCTTATTATATAAGCTGCCAAGGGCTGCGGCGAGGACTTGCGTTTATTGTACTCGTGCATATTGGTGTGCAAATGCCAGGACGACACTAACTCCCAGGTCCACTTCACTTCAGCATAGGAGAGGCAAAGAAGTTGCCCTGATGCCCAAGCTGGGTTGTTGACTTGCTTTTGCTCCCAAATCTAGTTCAAGAAAAGTAGAAGAACACCAGTTTGGGATTTAGGATACAGAGGTCTAACACTCTGCCCTTCCCAGGGGTCATTCACCCACATTTTACCCACCTCCCAAACAAAGTGCTCCTCTCCCTACCATACGATGACACTCATTAACCATCACGCAGCTTACACTGTTACTACAGCACTGATTAAGGGAGAGTTGACGGAGTGGTAAATCCAGGCTGCCCCCAGAACTGGGTCCAAAAGTCTAGTTTTAGTTCTCCTTGAACACCCAAACCACCTGTGGTCATCCCAACATCTCCATGACAGCACCCACTGGCGCTTACTTGGGAGTGGTTTTGCTGAAGGTAGACCGGACCCTCTGGGACAGGGAGCTAGACGACGGCGTCTTGGAGAGCTGCTGTTCCGGAGTAGTGAGGGGTCCAAGCATGCTCACTGTCAAAAACAGAAAGGCAGCAAAGTGAGCAACACGAGGACAGCTGAAGTTTTCATTGCCATGCAAGGAACATTAGACATTCCCTAGCATCTGTCAAACATACTAGACAAATCTGGTATTTCCTGGCACGCTTTTCTTCCCTCTTCCTCCATAAAGCATGCAGGAATGGCTAGCTCCAACAGTTTCACAAGCAGCTTTAGTTGAAGGTCGTTAATTTTTAACACAGCAGCTGCACAGGCAATAGAGCAGCACCCAGGGGTTACCTTTACCATCTGGTGTCTGTGGAGTGGAGTAGGCATTGATGTTCTCAATTACATGTGCTGGGTCAATGTTTTCTTGCTCCACCATCATCAACTGGCTCCAGTAGTCCATAGGCAGCAGCAGAAGTCGCTCCACCACCTACGGAGATACCCGTGAGTAGCTGACGTTACACGCCAACGCACAGCTTTGACACACCAACACCAGGCAGGCATTGCCTCGGCTCCCTCCAGCAATTCATTTGAATTCTTGAAGTGGGATACATTCGCTCAAGTCAGTCCTTTCTGCTGACCTACCTTGGGCTGCCGCTTAGTGTCTTGCAGGAGTGTCATCGGGTCAGGGTCAGGTACCGCGTGAGCAACTATTGTGGGGCCAAAGACTTTGGCCAAGTTGGTAATGTCCATTTTAGTCTCCGGGCTCTGAGCCACCCTGTATTAAAAAGATTATGAAGAAAGAGAGAATGTAGCTTCTCCCCTTCACTTGTCATACAACTCCCCCAGCCCACGCACATTTCAGCCTCTGAAAAAAGCCGTTGTTTTTTTTTTTTTTTAAAAATCAAGACTTTATGATCACAAGCAGCAAGACCCAATTAGAGAAAGCACTAGTGGCAACATCCCCCTTTCAGAACTAGCAGTCCATTTGAGCATACCTCTGCAGGTGGATCATGAGGAAAGCTAGGGTGTCCCTATTGGCCTGAGGAAGTTCACCAACTGCTTGGTACATAGCAGCGACACTATTGTCCTCATCCGAGATTTCTGTGGGAAAAAAAGAAAAAAAAAATGCTTAGACCTCAGAAAGTGGTCCCAGAGTTACAGTTGTCATAGTCCCCTCACAGAAATAGCTAGCCTGAAAGACAAAGCCAGAAACTTCACGTGCCATTGTAATCATTTTGTATCCTGCCCAAGCACTAGAACTTGGTTCTTTCCTCATCCAAGCCAGTACAGCAGGAGAGATCTTCCCAGAGTATTGCACATCATCATCAACACAGCTGCAAGCACGAGGGCTCCACAGAGCACTGTGGTCTAACAATTCACAGAACACCCAAACCTGTGACCATCAAGCCTAGGGAAAGAGTCGGAGATGTCACTTAGCAACTCCTTACCTGCAGCTTCCATAAAAGTCTTGTTTAACCGGAAAGTGAGAAGAGGTTCTTTCAGGCTGCGTAGAAAGTCCTTGAGAAGGCCACAGATCGCATGGATATCGTCCACTTTACTGAGCAAAGGAACACTTTTTGCTCTAAGAAACTTATCTTTCAGTTCCCTCACTGTCTTGTCACAGCCAGATATCCGGTAAAGGCCTGTCTATTAACAGAAAGCATTGCTTAGAAGTAGAAGATCAACCATACGTCTAAAGCTGGCATTCTTCCACTCTCACTTTCTCTCCACACCTGAGCACTCTACACAGACACTGTTGCTCACTCAAAGTCACCCACTGAGCAGCACTACATACACCATAAATAAGAGATATTTGGATTAACAGTTTGTTTCCCTAGCACCACAACCCATTTCATTAGCACTGTTTCACACCTCGTTTTCTTTTTACCTCATGCAGCCCTCGCTGCTCGATCTCATTAACACAGTGCACTATGATGGAAGGGATCATTGGAGGAGTAGAAGGGACAAAGTCCATCAAGGTGCCCTAAGAAGCAGAAGGGAAAATTAAAAATACTCTAGCCTTCAAGACATGGAAAATCTCAGGAATTCAGGGAGATCTAAGCTTAAAAAACAAGCACTGTTTCTTCTTTATCAGCCCGGAGAAGATCAACACTACCTCCAATCAGCACAACGCTGCAGGATTGCCTACCCAGAGCTGCCATGTTCCCAACCCAACACCCTCCTAACATCGCATCCCTACCACCCACCACCCTGGTTACTGAAGGATACATTAGCAAGCTCATTTACATTTTATTATGCAGCTCTGAGCAACAGGAGCTCTCGAGTAGAAGGCAGACTTGTTGGAGCCTAAGCATGTTCTAACTCTAACCAAACACCAGCCCGTTTGTGCTGGCAGCCGCAGGTCCACCCCACGCTCACCTCCCCAATCCTGACAGGAGTGCCCGTCAGGGTGGGGATGCAGGGAAGAGGGCAGCGCTCCCGACACTCTGGATGAGCGACCACACGGCAGTCTCTGCATTTCAGAGAGATTTTTCCAAATTTTACTCTCTTTCCACACGGAACGCATGATTCTGGCTTGATAACCTAAGTATTCAGAGCACACAAATGGGAAGAGATTAGTGCAATGTAGTAACTCAGAAAGACTTCAGCTGGATAACCTTACAGAATAACATATTCCCTGATTCATGCAGGTAAGTGGTACAGTTAATATTGACTTGAGACATAACAGCTGGTAGCCTTTTCTCAATAGCTTGATATCACACACATTTAAAAATGGAAGGAGATGCTGTTTCAAATTCTTCCTGCCTGTAGACCTACCGTCTTTGAAACAAAATCATGCAGCCTCACTCCTGCATTGTGCTGCGGGGTGCCAGAGCCATCAGTCTCCGACTTGGATTCCAGCTGCTTACTGCCTATGCTTGACTCGCTGCTCCATGGCTGCAAAGGGCCTGAAAGACAGAAGAGGAAGAGCGTTGGCTGAATGGAATCACCCTCCACCCCCCATAACCTTTGCTTGAAAAGCAAGTGCATCATAAACCAGAGGCAGCTGCCCAGGTCCAGGCGGGAGGCAGCTCTAACATGCCAGGGTAGCCACCGGCCTACCAAGCGGTTGCTTCAGGACTAGGACAAAACAGAAACAAGACAAAACACCTACCACTCTTCCGACGGCTTCTCAGACCGTACGGCACAGTCTGGATAGTGGAGATGGCTTCAATGGGGCCACCATCATTGGGGACCATCAGAGTTGTCTTTGCTACTATGGATTCATTTCCCTGTGATGAAAAATACACAGTGAGATCAACGCTGACAGGACAGGGGATTTTTCTAGTTCATTGGCCTTAGGAACAGGTATGCAAGCGCACACAAACCCGGGCGGGACCACCATACCTGGTCTGCTGTGGAGCCAATTGATCTGGTTTTCTTCTGAGGACCCGGAGGGCCTTCAATGAACTGTCTGGAAGACCGCTGGAAAGATACGATATGTTTTCATCTATGAAGCAGGTATGCTCCTAATTTAGTGTTATACTACTTCTGTGTAACTGGAAGGACTGAACAATTGCTTGCACGCACCATAGATACATTAAGTTCTTCCACGGTATCTGTTCGTCATGGTAACCTTGAAGTTGCCATGAAGTATCATGGGGCCTCAATTACTGCTCTTTCAAATAATTCTCCTAGCCAGCTTTATAATCCAATTCAGAAAAAAGAAAGAAAGGAAGGGGGGGGGGGGGGGGGGGAAACAAACACACACCCAGAAAAACAAACCCACAACCAAAACCACGCACTTAAAGAAAGAAAGGCAACTAAGCAAGTCCCAGACTCTGCCCAACTCTGCTAGTGATGATTTCAGGCTGTCCTTCCCCACCTGTCCCTACTGCGTACTAACAGCAGAATGGAACAAGCACAAGCTTTTTTACAGAAAAATATTAATTTCCTACATGATTTTTCCCCTGATCTGGTAGCTGTTAATAATCTTCAAGTGCTTCCTGCAAACTCTAGGCCATAACTGAACACACTGTGTGTAACTCCACTCCAGCCATTTTCAGTAGACAAACAACGCCATCAGAATTAACTTTCAATCTAAATCCACACAGCAGGTCTGAATTATAGCAGCAGCACATCCATCTGAAGTTTGATTGTGATTAGTAGCTCAGACATCATTATAGGTGGCTGTGAGGTGACAGATGGTGACATTGTGTCAGCTAAGGCTAACAAAGGAATCTATTTGGAGGGGAAGAATTGAACATACCCGCTTCTCTCTCCTTTTCAGTCTGACAGCTTTTACCACAGAGGAGTCCCAGTCCTGTGGGAAATACACAACGCTGGTTAGCTCAGTGTAAATACCATACAGCCTCTGGCCAGGACTTTCATTAAGTTTTAGCCAACAGTACACCAGAGAAATGCAAATCAGCTCTACCAGTTTAATACCACAGTAATCTAAACACAAGAGGTCTCTAGAGATTAACCTACACCCCTAAGGTCTTACAGCAGAGGAAAACTTTAGAACTTGCAGTTACATTACCAGTGACTCATCAGTCTTGTCAAAGCTGATGTCTGACAGAATTGAACCAGATTCATCTATTGTAGACAGCCTAAAAAGCAAAAATTAGAAGAAACTTGTATCAGTTTGGCTTTCAGTCAGCCATGGTTCCAGAACAATCTTTCTGACTCAGAAAACCTGTATTTCAAACTGGAATAGGAAGTAAAACTCTGTCGATATGGGTGCAGTGTGTGTCACAGAGGTACACGTCTAGATTAATATTTGACACTTATGTTGCTTAGACAAAATGCCATTTTGCCTACCTTTTGTTGCCTGAACCCCCTATAGAAACCTGTGGCCTGTTAAGAAAGGCGAGGGCAGACTTCTGCTCTTCACTTAGCTGAATACTGCCAGAGGCATCACACATGAGCAGCTCTCGAATCAGTTGTATTTGCCGCTCCTGTAAAGGTAGATAATATCAGAGGCTGCCACAGGATAAACTGTGTTTAATTACAGTATGAACCAGCGTCAAGCGTTTGAGATACCACACAGATAGGCTCTCAGAACTTGTGTCAATAGATGAATGGCTGCAAAGCCCATGCTCTGACAGGTAATGGCAGCTCAGCTCCGAACAGCAGCCAGTCGTTTTTTTCCAGACCAAAGCAGAGGGCTGCTACGAGGAGCCAAGCTAATTTGTTGTTGTTGGGTATTTTCCTCCCCGGGGAAAAAAGTTATCATGAGTGCCAGTCTTTATTTTCCATAGATCAATGCAGTTTAATCACCTTGTCTCCACACTCTAAAGAGCTAACTGGTAATAAAGGAATTACTCACTAGCTTTTCACAGTCCGTTTCAGCTTTTTGCCTCCGTTTGATCTCCACGTCCACTTGATTGCGAGCATGTTTCAGCTTCACGTCCAAAGCACTACGTTCAGCTTCAGTTTTCATGAGAAGATCTTTGTACCTGCCAAGCTCATGCTCTGTCTTCTGCAGTTTTCTGCGATACTCTTCAAAGTTCTTTGCTAACTGAATAAACTCTGGAGAGAGGACACATACATCTTTAACTACCCTGGCAAGCAGAGGAGATGCAGCAGCTCTCCTTTCCCTGACAGTAGATATCTATTAATATAACCTGTTCTTGATGGAAGAGTGAAGAAGCCAGCCTTTTGGCAAACCCACCCACACTATAGACGATCATGAGATCCTGCAGATTTTCAGACCGAGTCCTTCATGTCAGGATCAGCCAGAAGAGCTGCGACACGTGGCCCTGCCTACAAGTTCAGCCTGCGACTTCGTATTTCTCAACAGTGAAAACACCCTCAAATCTGACCACCTGTAGCGGTCTTCTTACCCCTAAGATCATCAACAGATTCTTCAATATCAGCCAGTAATATTTGTTTGCATGTTTATGTTCTTACAGCAAAGACAGCACAACCCACTTCAGAAACAGAACTTACGGTATTCATTTCCTTCACTTAAAACTTCAGCCTGGCGCATAAGTTGATCATACAGACTCCGTAAGTTCAGCATCGCAGTCTCCATCTTCCTGCCAAGAAAGCAGAGCTAAATAAACAGCCCAGCCCTTTCTTCTCACCTCCAAACAGAAAACGTGTTACCAGCCCAAAGAGAATCAGCTTCAGAATTACTGATTTTTTTTTTTAAGGCGAGCTTTAGAAGTTGCACAAACAAAAATACATTAAGAGTTATGTTTTATGGAGATATATGCATCTAAGTTCTTTCATAGAGAATGAAGATCGTCACCCCTCCAGAGATTACAGATAGCAGAGCCATAGAGAGAAGCAGTATAGCTCCTCACCTGATCTCTGCAAATACTCTCCAGTATACTACAGAGGCTCAGAACCCAAGGCACAATGAAGGATCCCAAATTCTTCTCCTTCTAGAAGGCTGCAGAACACAGCTCATGCCCTGTCTACAAATAACTTGGTACTATATAGGCCACTAAAAATCTGCAAGTTTTCAGAGCTTCGTAAGATAAAAATAGGAGCAGCATTCTGGGGAATTTTAATACAGTTTTAAATTTAGCTGCATTTTAAGTTACAGCTCCTCCTGCAAATAGCTGTTAAAATTCAGACAGTCAGCACATTTTCCTCAAACAGTTGCAACAATGGCATAAACAGAAGCAATGAAGAGGAAAGTCTCCAACTCAGCAACACAGAAATTGCTTCCCTGATGCAAGAGGTTGCTGGGGCACGCAGAACAGCCTCGACTAATGAATTAGCACCAGGAGCAGGTAGTCGGGAGAGGTGCCAGGAGGGAGTACAACACCCCAGTTTAACGCTTAGGCCACCGCATAAAGCTTTGAAGTACTCGATTCCCAGTTACAGACACCGATATCTCAGGACTTTCTGTATTATGCAGACTACAAGGTGTGAAAAAGCTCTCTGCTAAAAGGCCCTCTTCTGTTCCCTGTAGCCTTGCTTAATTAATCGCATAGGGAACTTCTACAGTTTCGTGCCTTAATTAACCAGCACCACGATCATCAACCCCGCGCCCAACTCGACGGCGGGGGAGCACGGCCAGCCCGCGCAGCACCCACAGCCGCCCCCCAAGGCCGTCCGGGAGGCAGCGAGGGAAAACGTCTCGGAGGAAACCCGCCCTGGGCGCCGGCCCACGCTGCGCCGGGAAGGCGGCTCCCCTCGGGCCGTGAGGGGACCCCGCCACCCGTACCGGGGCACCGGGGCGGTACCGGGGTCCCGCCGCACCCCTCAGCCGCCCCTCACGCTCCCGCGCACTCACCTGGGCCGCCGGCCCCGACTCCAACCGCCGAGCCCAACCGCCCCGCACTTCGGTTTGAATCCCCGCCGTCAGCCAATCCCAGCGCGCTTCCCCACCCTCCCGGCCTCTCATTGGCTCTGGTCACAGGGCGGCTGAAGCCATGCCGGCGCCATGTCTGCTGAGGGCGCGGCCTGTCTGCTGCGCTCCCCGGCGCGGGGGCGGACGGAGGCCCGAATGACCCAGTGCTGAAGCCGGCCAGGCGCCATCTTTACTGCTGGTTGCGGGCTCCAGCCCGTGTAGCTTAGCAACAGAGCCGGCCGGCGACGCTGGCAGGGCCTACGCCCCCCGAAACCGGGGGCTGCAGCTTCTCTGAGGAGCCATTAGCACCAGAGGGAATGTTTTGGGGAGATAAAACTGTTCTCAGGCCAAGCCCTGGGTGTGATTTTAAGCAAAACCATTGGCACACGGTGCAGGTGGGCCTGAGCCCCACACACACTGGTTCTGCAGAGCACCATGAGGCCTGCGCAAGGTGCTGGATGCAACCCACAGCTGGGTCAGAGCATCCACACCTCACCAGGAGGCTGTTTATTAAGTGTTGTCGTTTGAGAAATCTGACGCCTGCACTGATTTTTTGTCTTTGAAACGTTGATCTGAGTAACAGCCGGCAATCCGTCCCGTGTGCCAAAAGGCAAAACCCCATTTCAAGCCGTGTACGCGTCTTCCATTCGCAGACATTTAATATGCAAACCGATAAAACACAAACCAAAACCCAACAATTACAAGAAGTGAAATCACATAATCATAAAATAACAACGCGTTTTAATCTTTTAAATCTGAAACAAAACAGCGGGTAATTGAAGAATGGATATTAGCAATTAGAAAGCGGAACTAAATGCTTAAAATTGCTAAGTGGAAAAGGGAGTTCATAAAGCAGATTGCTCTCTAACATCCAGCTGCTTTGTCAGAACTGCTTTATTTAGGCTATATAGTCTGCTTTAACTTAATAATAATTAATTCATAATAGATTGTAAAAAGCCTCAAGGTCTTCTGAAAAGTAAACATTAATGAGGCTTCCTTGAGGAAGACAGTCAAAGTTATCTACATTTTATAAGGGAACTGAGGCCCAGAAGAGACACAACTCGCCCTCGGAGTCAATGGCAGAGCAAGAAAAAGGCACTGACCTTGATATTTGACCTCATGGAATGGAAAATCATCCAAAAGCCCAATTTGCCCCAGTCTGGAAAGCAAGTTGGAGGCTGATAGTTACACCTGGCTCTGCTGAGAGCCGCTTGTACGTGTACATCCCATCCTGGCACTTCTTGCACCCTCGTTTCTGAGGAGGTTCAGCTGTTTCGGTGTCAGCCCCGGGGCCTCCTGCAGCTCCTGCCTGTAATTAAATCTTCACAGCTAAGATGTCTCTATTGGCAGATCATATTTATAGGCAGGTTGTTTTAGTGTCATTCTTAAGAGTTAAGGAGGCTTTTGCTCATAAGCAAATTCTCTTCTCTTTTAAATTGTCATCCGCAATCTTGTGCCAATAAAAAGGCCCATTATTTTAGATTATTGCCCCCATGGTGCTTGTAGTGAGTTAGGTACTGGGTTTCAGTGTTAGGCAAATTAGATTTCTTCCATATGTGTTCAGATGTCGTACTTCCGAATCCTCCTCTGAAACATGATGGGTGGGAGCTCCAAGGGCATCAGGAACCAAGTCCCCCCAAAAAGCTTCTCAGAAACCCCTTCGCCTGCTGATATGATGTGGACATGGCAAATGGGCCAGGTCCTGGGGCACATGCCACTTGCTCGGTCCCAGCCCCGGACCCTGAAAGATTTATAGAGTTTTTCTTTCCTCCTTCCTGACTGATGCATGATGAGAGCAGAGAGGTCAGAAGCACCTTTCATACATAGTTTTATTTCAAGGGAGAAGAAAAGGCAAAAGGATTGAGGTCCTTTTTAGTAACTGCTTTATTGCAAAGTAATTATACTCTCTTTTGTTTGCGTCGGGGAGGGGAGGGAGAAGCCTTGAAATGTCTCATCTGGGAAACCGTTAATAGAATTTATGCTAATTTGATGATTCCGGCGATTACTGGCGGAAGCACTTCACATTTTCAGGCAGCAGAAATTCTCCTCCAGTTCCTTCTGCAGTCTCACTCCGTTTGGTCTTCAGCCTGTTCGCCTCCTCCAGCCGCCGGAGACTCCTTTGCTGGTCAGCACTTGCGGACCCCATGATGTGACCAGGATTTTTGCTCATGAAAATACCAAAGGGCTCACTGCTGACCCTGAGCTTTGATCTTTTGGGGCAGAATGCAAAGAAATCTGCCCCTGTGCTTCACTGTGCTAGCAAGCAGCCCTTCAATAGCAAACCTTTCCCTCCTAGCCTCATCCTCTGGTAGAGCTTTGCAAACACAATTCTCTCTGCCCGGCTCCTGCTTAATTAACTGCAGAATGGCAAACCCATTTGTGTGGCTTTGTGCTCAGGGGAAACCTTTATTAAGTTCCTTTTAATCCAAAACCAGTTAGAGCATTATGGTCTTCATGAACAGTCACTCATTAAAAAAAAAAGGGGGGGGGGGGATCAAGAAAGTGGAACTAGAAAGTTTAAGATAGCAGCCTCTCTTCAGGGGGAAAAAAAGGCAGAAAATATTATCTAAGGTGCATTTCTCTTCATGCGTTAATACGGTGTGGATTTCAAAAAGGAATGATTCAGTAGTGTGAGGAAAATACCCGGCGGGCTGAGCAGGGAAGGCAGCCTGGGTTTAGCCAGAGGAAACTGGACATTTTGGGGAATTATTATCTAATTTCTTGCGCCTGGCCTGAGCCGCAGGCCGGCAGATGGCATCACGCTCATGCCGTTGGGTGGGAGCTGCGGGGCCTCAGCCATCCCTCATCTGTACAAAATATTGCTCGGCGCATCGCCCGTGCGGGCTGTGAGGAGGGTGCCAAAGGAGCCGTGTTTGCGCTGTCAGTCCAAACGACGAACCAGGTTTATCTGCCATCTCCTGCCTGCGTGAACCGGGGATAATTCCTCCAGCGATGACTGACAGCGGGGTAAAGAGCTCTTGGATGGGATCAGCCAAACCTGCCTGCACCGACACCCGGTCCATCCTCTCTGCTTCTCATAGTGAAACAGTGCATTAATGTTAGCAGAGAAGCCACGGCCTTATCCTGAACTCCTTAAAAAACAATGGGAGTCTCTATTGCCTTAATCTGGCTTTTAATGAATGACCTCTTGTCGCCGGGAGCTGTGTACAGTGACAAAGAACCTTTGTGGGCTGATATTTATGATTTCATTTAAGCCAGGGAGTAAGCTAAGGGAGAGAGCTGGAAAATAAGAGCTGAGCTGATGTTTCCTGCTTTAAACTCAAGGGATCTTTATCTAGTTTCTGTACTAATACAGTTGTATCATCTCTTAAATATTTGAGCAACTCACAGCCGTGAATGCTCCCACACTGGAAGGACACACAGGTCACGCTCGGCGGCAGGGCAGGGAACAACTCCATCTCTCCTGAGCCCCACACATTCATTTAGGCCCTAACACTGGGGCGGGGGAAAGGTTTTGCATTTTTCTAGTGCCCACCAAAAATTGCACATGCATCGAGCACACCAAGCCCTGCTGTGAGAGCCCGTGACCTGCTTGCGGGGAGCCAGCGTGCAGCCCCGGGCTGAGCACAGCCACCGGGTCTGAACACCCTTCCCCGCACCAGCAACTTGCCAACGCTGATAAATTTTTGCCTTTTCCTTCAGCAGGCCTTGGCGGCGGATTAAGCAGCTGGGATTCTGGAGTGAGAGCGCGTCCCCTCTCCTTTGCCATGCAAACAGAGAAAATTAATCTTCCAGCTTCCTCTGATATTTGGGCTGAATTACAAGCTGGGAGCGAAGATAAAGTGCGGGCGAAAGGAAGGTACAGGTACAGCGGAGAGCCGAGCTGCCTGGCACAGGCCTTTGTCCCTGCAGATAACGGCTCTCCTCCCTGTGTCATGCATAATTCACCAGCACTGCCTCTCCCTCCGTCCCGGTCATCCCTCTCTCTGCTTTCACAGCTCCTCTTCTACAGAAACTGGAAGCTGCCTTGTCCGAGCGAGCCCGTGTGTGTTGGCTGCGTGTGTGGGTGCAGAAGCACACTCCTGCGTGGGGAGGGAGCACGCGTGTGCATCCAGAGGCACAGCAGCAACGTGCAAGTCTCAGCTGCAGCATCACTCTCTTTGCAGGTTTGCCCTGGGCCGTAGGTGAGGGGACGTTGTCTCCTCTCCCCCGGGGTTGCTGGAGCCTGTGCTGGGACGGGCCGCCGCTGTCCTGCCCAGCAATTCCCAACGCTGATCCAGCTGAACCAAACCAGCACATCCACCTCTGCAAGGGCCTCGTGAGTGATTTCATATGCCCATCACATTTCCGCTTTGCTAACCACGCTATCTCCCTAAATCCCTCTGATGTTATAGTTGGATAGAGGTTACATCCTTTGGGATACCAACCCCAGCATTAACAGACACCAACTGCATTTTATTTGGTCGATCATCCGGCAGCTTCTCTGTACCGTTCTTGACAGAACCGTGCCACACAGAGCGGAAAAGCCATGGAGGTTTTCCATAGCCACCCAGAGTTTCTTTCCCAGAACAAAGCAGAAATCACTCCGGTCACTCCCAGCCAAACAGCGAATATAGACACCTGTTTAATTATTTTTGCTTTGTAAATGAAAGCAGTGCCGTGAGTTTAATAACCACTGTTTGGGAGTAATTGGGGCGATTATTGTATGGCCCAGGGGGAAAATTGCAGCTTGTTATCTCCAGGGAGTAGCATTAGGATCCAGCAGATAATCAGAATGTTATTTGTTGCACTTTAGATGACATTTCTTATGGATTTAGAAGTGATAGTGATCAAACCGTGTTGTCAGAGCCACCCCCAAACTGGAGAATCCAGGGACCTGTAAGGTAAATAGCATCTGAAGCTGCCTGGGACAGCTGCTCTTCCAGCAGGACAGCACGAATAACAGACGTGTGCATCACATTTGAGCTCAAACACTTCCAGATCTGAGAGTCACTCATCTCTCTTTAAATCTGATCTTCTCATAAGAGAGATGACACTCAGG